CCCAGGTGCCAGTGGTACTTCTTCCACTCCACTTCAGCTCACTCAGTATTTATAATTGCTCACCACACACAGGTGAGTTTCGTTGCAGGTAACAAAAAGAACTTCAATCACTAGAGCCAGGTGTCACTGAATGCAGTCATTCAACAGTCATTCCAGACAGGCTTGAGCTGGGAAACATGAAAAATGTTATGGATCTTCATATTGTGGGGCAGGATGAGACAGACAGACACAGGGTGGATCATAGATGAAGACAGGAAGTCGAGGGGCAGATTGTTCCAAATGCTAATCAATCTGTGATATATTAGCTGCTGGTGACAGTGGTTCTTCTTCTACGGTCCTTCTCCCTTACAAAAGCTCCGTCAGGTTCAAAAATATTTTTCCATTGCCTCCCTTTCATGTTTGGAAAGGCCGTAAAGGCGACTCTTAGGTGATGGAACACCAAGGAGCAGGTCTATTCCCCAATCGTCAGGGCGATGAGGAGGGAGAGAAAGAGCGAACTCTAAACACTTCTGCAAGTTCATGATACAGAAAAGGGACTGAGGACAGATCAGGTAACTCGATCAGAAATGACCGGGTTAAACTGCAACAGAGAGATCTGTGGTTCTTACACAGTTTTGCCCAGTCTATATTTGGATTGTGTGTGCTCAACCAGGGTGCTTCGTGCATCAAACATGAACTAACTAATCTTTCCACATTTTCACCAGACAGGGACAATGACATGGACTGAGTGTGATGTGTGATATCCAGGAAATGGGGACCATTCAAAGCAGAAACTTGTCCCTGTTCAGGAAGGGTGACAAGTGGGATGTTAAGCTCTTTTGCTAGCACTTGATCAATAAAGCTCTGTTCAGCCTAGGAGTCTCTTAAGGTTTTCAAACAGTGAGTGAGAGCATTAATGATGAATTTGGCTGAAACCATGAGTCTGGGTGGGGAGGAGTTATCATTCATCTTGCCTGCCAGTCTCCCCACACTTACACCCGATCTTTTGTTCGCACAGGGCAGGTGCCAACAAAACGTCCCTTCTTCAGAAGGTGAGAGGTGCACAGGCTGTTTCTCGTTGTATTCAGACCCACCTCTCCCCCGGCTAGGCTCCTCACCACATGGAGGAGAGCCCTCCAAAGGGGTGAGGGAGTTGTAGTTGTTCACTGGGAGAAACCTTTCGTCACTCAGCCAGGATACTTTGTTTCTCTGAACAAATTTCTTCCACTGAAAACACAACCTCAAGAAGAAGATTTCCATCTTGCATCAGCATGCATCAAGACACTTCTTATATGCATATTCACCCACATGGTTATCCGACCAGATACACATGGAAACAAGAGCATAAAGTGAATTACGGAGATCCTTGGCAGCCAGCTCCTATCTTAAGTTTTCTTCTTCTTCGGTCCGGCTTTGTCAAACAAAATCCCAAAGTCTATAGAAAAACTGGCCACACTCCTCCTACCTTGCTTCAGGTGAAACATCTTATACACCGCCACGTCACAGTTGGATCCTTTGTCAAAAAGATTCTTGAATTTGCGGATAAACCCCTCAAAACAGATTCAGGTTAGTTTTGAAACCACCTGTGCCCACTTTAAAGCTCTCCTCCGTGAGAGCAGAACCATGAAAGCAGTCTTAGCATTGTCTGTCTAATAAGTTATACTTTGTTGGTGGAAAATCAAGGCACATCTGATTTACCCGTAAACGTTTTGGGCGAAGGAAGCGGGCGCTCCGGATGCTCGGGAGGTGGAGGAGGTGCGTGGACAGCACAGATCAAAGAAGCACTTGTAGATAAAGAGGGAAAAGATGGCTGATTAGAGACTTCTCATTTCTGCGGGATCCAACATATCTTTTAATGCACAAATTTGTTGCACAGTGGAGGCCTGTTCTCTGGAAACATGGGGCAGAATTTGCTCATCACGGTTTAACTGGGCCTCCTGCAAAGTTCACATAGACAGAACGCGTTTAATGGGATCCGAGCCCACTGAGTCCATCTTCTTCCAGAAGATTAGATTAGGTTAGATAAAACTTTATTAATCCCTCAGGTGGGTTCCTCTGGGAAATTCAGTTTCCAGTAGCACAGCACAAACAGAAGTTGCATGTTACAGAGTTGGAACACCAAATAAAGGGGAATGACGGAGTACAAATATAAGAATAAATATAGCATATATACACACATACACATATATAAATGTCACACAGTGGAAATTTCTATTTATCTTTTATATTGGTTTTATTCTGATTTTTAATGCATATTTATAAGTGTAGTTTTTATTTGCATGATTTTATTCTGTTTGTATTGCATGTTTTTAGTGTGTTATTTGACATTGTTTTAATCCACTGTGGAATGGCTGGGCATGGGACAATTAGCTGACAGTGATCACCTGCTGAGGCATGGGTGTGTCCACAGGTGGCCTATCAGCTGTCTAAAGACCTCTTAAAAGGAAGCTAGCTAAGCACTGGAAGACAGAGGCCCCAGATGGAAACAGGAATGCATGAAGGCCAGGTGAAAAAAAAAAAAAAAGGTGCCGCATAACAAAAAGGACCATGTACTTAAGAAAGATAAGATACTTTATCATCATTATACAAGAATGTACAACGGAATAATAGTACACTGTCATGCACTGGATATGGACTTATTATGTAAGATGGGGGAATAGGTACCATATAATATAATATATTACCATATAATACTTACCAAAGTTACCATGACATTGTACTTACACAGTATAATTATGTCTTTGTTTCCTTTAAAAATCGGACTTGTTACCCCCCTTAGTGTGCCTACCTTTAAGGATGTGTAAGTAAATATAATTACATTGTAATTTCAAATTCCATTTAATTACAGGTCAATTACGCCCTCAGTCGGACTCGATTATACCCGGGTCATTTTTGTAGTAACAACTTTTTTGGCATGTGAGACAACAGGTGGTGTCCCCAGGATTGACCTGGAAAGTTATTTTCCATAGACAGTAGCCTGTTGCTCAGGCTTTACTTTCTTGCTTTGGCTATTCAAAGAAAAGAAAAGGCGCGGTTAGGACGCAACCAAGTGTCACATCTATGGGGGTGGGGCAGGTGCAGGATATCCTTTGCTTGCCGAGTACATTAAATCGAGAAAGCTAAACAATGTTTCGTGGTTAATGACAGTAAACACTTTTCTTTCATTATTATGATATGAGATGTGGGAGGGGTGTACAAGCCGGTTTGGTTATTCTGGAATTACACGCCACCTACCCCTCCTGCTCCCTCACGCATAAACGGGAAATACACCTGCAGTCAGCTGGCAAAGCAGAACACGTTCAAGATGGGGATGGTGTCGGCAGCCATGGGGATAAGTGAGTAACTTCATCAGATTATTTGTTAAAGGGTTGACTGGAAACAAACAAACACTGTAACCTGTAGGGCAGAGAGGAAATTGTGTTTATGTGTTTATCAGTAATCCGCGCACCTACTCAGCTGTTTTATTCCGGTTTGTGTCACCGGCACGTCAAAACTTTTAGCCTGTAAACGCGTTCGAGTAATCGGCAGTAAATATTCATGCGAGCTCTTCCTGAAGTTTTAGTTGTTTCTTTGTGGTTTTCATTTCCGTGGCTAAAATCTCACAAAGTCTCCGAGACACGTGAGGAGTTTAAAGTCATGGCACGCGAGGGATCTTTAATAATAATAATGGATTGGATTTATATAGCGCTTTTCAAGGCACCCAAAGCGCTTTACAATACCACTATTCATTCACTCTCACATTCACACACTGGTGGAGGCAGCTACGGTTGTAGCCACAGCTGCCCTGGGGCAGACTGACAGAAGCGAGGCTGCCATATCGCGCCATCGGCCCCTCTGGCCAACACCAGTAGGCGGTAGGGTAAAGTGTCTTGCCCAAGGACACAACGACCAGGACAGAGAGCCCAGGGATCGAACCGGCGACCTTCCAGTTACAGATGCGAGTCCCAACCCCCTGAGCCACGGTTTAACACCCAACCACTCACCCACACGCGGAAAGGAGCGCAGAGCATAGTGTGTTAATCTGATTAATGTCAATGCTGTAATCTGCAAAGTTATTCTGTTAGTTCTGAAGTTCGTTGTGTCTAAACTTCAGGTATTGTCTGTAAACGTCGAACCTCCAGAGATTCATGAAAAAGAAAATAATCCATTTTCACGTGCACAATTATATTTTTATTTTAACTTTAAAACACTTTTTGTTGTCAGGTATTTTACTTCATCTTGGTGGTGCACACAAGTGCAACGTCACTCAGCGTGATCATGAGACAACATATAACATCCCAGATCTGTCTTATGCTCAGGGTCCAAGTGATTCCAGCTGCACATTCACCTGGTCCAACGCATCTGTAAGTAAACCGTACCAGAGCAGCTTCACGTATTCTGATGTGTAACAGTTACTACCAAGTCTTAACTTCACATTAGTGCTTCCATCAATATGTATGAAAATGCAGGTTACATGGGGTTGTACTTCATTTACGTGCAGCCTGGCTTGTTGTGATAGAATGTGGAGGGTTTGTGTTTCAGCAAACCGTGGTTGCAACTCACGTTAATAAAATGGAGCCGGTGACGATGAGCAGATTTGGCAAACTTGTCTCTTCCAAATGCATCGGCAACATGATCTTCAGTGGAACCTGCGTGACTGAGGTATCACTGTTTCCATGGCCAACAGTGGTCAGCATAATTAGAAACTCTAGTTTTGATGGGGGAGGTTTAGTTAACAGCAGAAATATAAACATGCTGAAATACTTAGAATACAACAATAAAAGTATTAATTTGAACACGCTGTTCTGACAACCCCCAGAAAACATTTAATCATTATCCCGGTGTCTTTATTTTTTTCTTCATAGGGGACACCAAAGGACTATACGGCCAGCTGCACTGGTGAGTATCACTAACAGACTGAACACGTTTGACGAGCATTATTCTGAATATCTCCTTCTCTTATTCACATTCTGACATGTTTTTCCTCCATCTTTTAAGTCTAATGTGAACATCTAATATTCTTTTACAGTCACCTGCCTGCCAGAAAAAGAAGAAACAATAGGAGACAAAGGTGAGATAAAAATATCATTTTTTTAATATAGTCCAAAGTCTCTGGATCTCTATTAGAGACAATACAGCGGGGTTAAGTTAGAAGAATGTTTGGTAATTTTGATACTTGATGTTTACATGGAAATCCTAGCATCATGGATATTTACAAGAAATGGCCTCGCTGTGGAGCGTTACAGCATTTATTTGTGGCGTTACTATGACTGTAGTGCAACTGCATGCAGATTTCTCAAGACTGGTATTAAGCTCTGAGAAAATGCCTGTTTTTGTACCTTTGAACAAACTACTTGACCTTTGAGATGATGTTAGATGTTGTTGGCTGTTTGTCTTTTCAGGAATGCCTCCTTCCCAGATCGGTGTCATTGTAGTAGCTTTCATTGTCCTGCTGGTGCTCGGCCTCGTGTGCTTCCTGTGCTACGAATATAGACTTTGGAGGTATCTATCTGACTGTAACAGCTGTATTTAATGACATGCTCATCCAATATGGTCTAACTAATGCTCTGTCTTTGATAGTAAATGCTGTGGCCAGACTGGAGGCATCTACCCTCGTGTGATGTTTAAGAAGGCTCCGCAAGCAAAAGCTGATGTGGAGACAGGAGGAGGATAGAGCAGCTTCTCGGTGCACGATAAATCTATATCCATGCTTTCTCCATCCTTTCCCCTGCATTACTTAAGTAGCAGTATGCTTGCATTAATATATCATCTCTGCGGGTTTGCTTTTCTGTATTTTGCCGGGCGGCTTTTTGGGACAAGACAGTTACAGAATGAAATCCATGTTACAGGATATTAGAGGCTTGATGTGCCAAACTCTAACATAATAGTTCCTCCTTCCACACTGTTCAATTCAATTTTATTTGTATGAAAGCAAAATGGCAACAGTAGTTTGAGGCTCTTCTGTGGCCTCATCAATGCTAAAAAACGCTGTGACTGATGAAAGGTCAGTGATTTCTTCCCACACAGACAAACCTCAGCTAAGTGTTAGAAACTGTATCCTGTTACAGCGTTGATCCCAGTGTTGATTGTAATTCCACTAGCTGTGAGCGATTGGTGCACAGGTGAAAAGTTCTCTGGGAAATTGTTAATGGACTGATTCTTATATAGCGCCTTTCTACTCTCCTGGAGTACTTAAAGCGCTATGGGCTGTGGAAGCTCTCAGACTCTTTGCTGCAATAATGCTAATAATATAATATAATACAATATAACATAATATAATATAAT